AACAGGACAGCTGTGTGTGTGTGTGTGTGTGTGTGTGTGTGTGTGTGTGTGAGCGCGTGCGTGTGTGCGTGTGTGTGTGTGTGTGTGTGTGTGTGTGTGTGTGTGTGTGTGTGTGTGTGTGTGTGTGTGTGTGTGTGTGTGTGTGTGTGTGTGTACGTTAGCAGGACCAGTACTCCTGTTAGGGGACCAGAGACTGGTGGAACACCATAATGGGTCAGAGGTTAGTTAGGTGCAGGGTAAGGGTCAGGGCGAGACTACAGGAATGAATGGAAGTGAATACACGGTCCTAACAAGGATAGAGATACAAAGTGTGTGTAGTTGTGGTGTTTCATGTCAACAGAGATGCCAGTCATCCTGAGAGCAGCAGGGGAGGGCCTGCTCACGCTCTCACACACACACACGGTCCGACTTCAGGGAGCAGAACCTGCGTGGGAGCTCTGCTTCTGAGTCATGGTGGTTCTGTGTGAAATTAGAACTTCTGCTCAAACGAGCTGCAGAACCACACCGACGGCTGAAAATATTTAAAATATGTCCAATTTTCAGCTCGTCTCGGCTGCTTTAAAAGGAGAAAAGAGCATCTATCATATAACTGTTTGTTAGCAAAATATCTCATTAAAGACTGGACAGGTTTCTGTCAAATTCTCAGAAAACTGATGAAATCCTGTAAAAAGTCAGATTTCTTGCTGAATTCAGCTCTTTGTTCCTCTGAGGCTGCAGCTGATTTTACACCTTCAATTTTATGTTTCTTGAAAAACTGCACGTCGCCCGCCGCCTTTCATGTCAGAGTTTGAATCTGAGATTGTTTTATGTTTAGAAAAGAGTCGTCACACACACTCATTTTACAAAGTCAGCTCAGTATCTGTCAAATTTACTGAGTTTTAAAGATTTCAGTGTTTCCAAACAAAAGTCAGCTGTAGATCCTGAAGGTTTTATTCTGATCCATTCAGGGACTCATAAGATATTTTGCTAACAGGCAAATGATAGAACGTCTACCTGCAGCCAGATCATGTTGGACGAGCGACACTGTTAATTCTGGGAAAATAAACCTCCCTGCAAACAGGAAGTGAAGCTTTTTTTTTCATGTTTCCAGCCACAACAGCAAGTGGTTTGGCCCAAACACAGGAACAGGAAGTGCCAGGAGGGGGAACCGCAGCAGGGGGTGGGTCTGGAGCTGGGGGGGTCCAGTTCTCCCCTGATTTATTGATTGATAAGGTTCATATTAAACTTTTATTTTAAAAATAGAACAATCATTTAGAAACCGTTCACTTCCTGTTTTACCTCCTAATAAAGACCACGTTTGGATCAGGACTCCCAGGTTCGGTTCTTTCAGTTCTGCTGGGAAACGAGAACTAATCAGCGAACGTCAGATTGAATCAACCTGTTCTCTGACTTCTCTAAATTTGTGATTCATGTGCAGAACGTGATGCAGGGTCAGGAGGTCGGGACCAACAGAGACCTTGAAGGATTTCTTCATTTTTTGATGCAAACTGTCAAAACAATGACAGTTTGATGAGGTTAAAAACTGAAGGGTTATTTCCAGCTGTGACAACGTGATTGTAGATTTCCTGCAGATTCTGTCGATTGTTATTTCTGCCTCCGTTACAGAAATGTTTCATGTGAAACGAAGTGTGGCTGCAGGCCGTCACTGACCGGCAGCTGAGGTTTCTTTCATGTGTGCAGCAGTAAAAATAAACAAAAAAACCCCAAACATCTCTGAGATAAAACAACCTGTCTTCACACCTGTGAAATCATCAGTAATATTAGCTGCAGATAAAACTGAACACTGACGACGTCCTGTTTAAACATCTTTTGACGGTGTGTGTGTGTGTGTTTGTGTGTCTGTGTGTGTGTGTGTGTGTGTGTGTGTGTGTGTGTG